GACTCTATTTTGTTCTGTTTTTCCCGACGAGGTCCTACCTTACAAGCCTCATTACGGTATATCGCCCACCCAATTCGACCAAAGCTGATGATGATGATGCCCTAATTGAAGTGCTTGGTGACCTAGCGCCTGTGCGCGAGAGCACTGTGATACTTGGTGATCTTCAATCTCCAAGTTGAATGGAATAGCCCGAGTGCATTAAATTCTGCTTCTGCTGCTTATATGGACTTCTTTCGGGTGTGTGGTATGGAACAGCATGTCAAGCAGCCCACTCACAATGGAAATGTCCTCGATCTTATACTTTCAACGTCTCACAATATCTTGGACGTTTCGGTCTTACCTCCGCTCGCTACATCAGACCATAACGTTGTCTCCTTTAACCTTCTCGAAGAGTCCAGCCCCCTTGTGATTTTCCCAGACCTGATTTCTTGAACACTGACTTTACTGCCCTCAACAATTATTTCCTAAGCATAGACTGGTGGGCTCTCCTTGATCAGTATTCCTCTATGGATGACATATACCAGAGGTTCTGTAGGGTGGTGTACAATGGGCTTGCGCATACCGTTCCTTTCAAGTCCATTAGAAGATCTGGTCTAAAATACCCCTCCATATAAGCAACTTACTACAGCAAAAAGAACGCCTCTTTTCTGAACTGAGCTCCCCTCTTGGCAGTGTTCTCTACGGGAAAGTGTGCTCTGTCTTGAACCATCATCGGAGGAAGTTCCTCACTATGAGCGCCGGCTTGGATCCCAAGCTTCACTGCGACGGCTCTTTCACTATTTTCGGCAGAAGCTGAAGCCGAACCACCTCCTCCCTACACTTGCTGACCAAACGGGTAAGGTATACCGTAGTGACGCGGATAAAGCAGATGCACTCGCTATTCATTTTTCCAGTATATTCACGTCCAAACTTCTCTCATGAGTGGGATCTCTCCCACTTCCCTCATGTCGCTGATAGCCTCACAGATTTCTTCTTTGATCCTGGTGCTGCTTCTACCTTCCTGAAGAAGCTTCGCCTCTCAACTAGTGAGCCTTACGATGGGATCCCTCAGATAGTTTACAAAAAATGTCACTTCTTCGCTGTGCAAGCCTCTGGCTATAATGTTCAACCTCTCCTTTCTCACAGGTGAGGTCCCTCAGCTGTGGAAAGATGTGATTATCACACCCATCCAGAAGTCCTCCAATATAAGCACACTAAGCAACTTCCGCCCAATCAGCCTTGCCGCCACTCCTGTCAAGGTTATGGAGAAAATCATAAATGAAAGGCTCTTAGCCTGGCTCATGAAACTTCGAATCATCCCTCCAGAGCAGCATGGTTTCATTCCGGGCTTATCTACGAGCACTAATCTGTCTGACACCTTGTATGACTTTTGTAAGGCACTGAATGAAGGCAAATCGATAGATGTTGTCTACATTGACCTTTCAAAAGCTTTCGACAAGGTTTGTCACCATAAACTGCTGGCTAAATTGGACAGATTGGGCATCCGTGGGAAACTTCTACATTGGCTCACTTCATACCTTCATGACAGGCACATGACTGTTAGAGTCAACAGTAGTTGTTCCAAGAGGTACTTTTGTGGAAGTGGAGTCCCACAGGGTGGAGTGTTGTCCCCGTTGTTGTTCTTAATTTACACTATGGAGTTGCCTAATCTTCTCAAAACGTCCTGTGACATTAAAATTCAAATGTATGCTGATGATATAAAAATCTATGGCGTACTTGATCGATACAACTATGAAAGTGTTCGGGGTGCTCTGAAACTTTCCATTCATAAAATGGTTGATTGGGCGGCCCACTGGGACATTCCACTGAATCTGAGTAAGACTTCGGTTATGCACATTGGAGATCTTGGCCCGGCTGATTACTACATCAACGACATTAGGCTTACAATGTGTCAGTCAGCTATGGATCTTGGTGTGCTTTTTGACTCAAAGCTGAACTTCTACTCCCATATAAACCAAACCGTAGAGAAGGCCTTCGTCAGTCTATTTGCTCTTTTCCGTAGCGTGCAATCTTCGGATGCGGCAGTGCTCACTCGTCTATACAAAGCCTATGTACTGCCTCGTCTCGAATATTGCTCACAGATCTGGAGCCCATATATCAAGAAATATATCAGAAAGATTGAGAAGATTCAGCGTGTGTTCACTCGCCTTCTTTGGTACAGAATTACGAGTAATAGCCTTCGCAGCAATTTGCCGAGCTATGAAGAGCGTCTGAAGATCTTTTCCATGAAACCATTGCAGTGTAGGCGTGTGACTGCTGA